CAATGCTTTCTACTTTCGAACGAGAAGTCTTGCATCCCATCTTCTTTCGAGTATAATAGTAAAGCGGCTGCATTGCCAAACACGAAACATTATTCAATGCACAGTTCCTCAATTTTTACGGTGCCCAACTAAGCAACCCATTATAAAATGATAACGCTTCTTGGCTTATTGGCACATATTAAAGGACCAAGAAGTGGGCTATGTCGATCGGAAGAAATTGGGAATCGAAAGAATCAAGGTAATGATAATACATCTCTGCACATCTTCTGGAAGTGAAAAAAGTTTAGTCAGGGAATGGAAATTGGGAACTTGTCATGCATTTAAACTAGACAGTGTTTTGATTCTTCTTTCGCCTTTATACTTCAACTTAATAAAGTTGAGCTCTATTTGCGAAATTTTGTGAGAGATAGCGTTGTAGCCCTTACACTGTGAGCCGTGTTTCATGAATTTTGTCGCGGAATGAAACTAAATGCTCAATACTCCTTAGGCTTTACACCGATTGTATCATAAGGGTCTTAACGGACATCCACAGTCAGCCACTCTCCAGCTAATTGTCGTACTCCTGTTGGCTAACATTTTGGAAGCTCAAAACACTGTCCCACTTCCCTTCCACGTTTCGTCAAAGTTGCTCACATAAATGGACACAAATTTTAATCGTGCAGCATAGCTACCCATATGAAGTGGATGGATTTAACTGATTGAGAAATCGGTATGGGGAAACTGGAATGGTAGAGCCTCAACTAAGATGTCGTTGTTGCTTTCGAGAGGAGCGGTGTATCAGAAGACTTGGGACAATTGCCTCCGCAGGACAGTTTACGAATTGGTTCCTCTGCATTCATTGTGTCACAATGCGTATTCATCGTATTTTCGATTTGAGGAGCGTTAGTGCCAGTACTAGTCTTGCAGTTACCCTCGTGGCGTCCATGACTTCCGTGTTTACTGGCGCTATGCATGGGACTGTTCTGTGAGTGGTTCATGTAGGGGCAATATTGGGGCAGACTTTGGCTGTCCACATGACTATTTACTAGTCTTAGTAGACAGGGGTGACTCCTGACGTGGTTTAGACGACCAGACATTGCACCACTGCTGACAGTCATCTGTTGAGATCTGGGTAAATCGAATTGTGCGAGTGAGTATCTTATGAAATATGCAAGGCCCCTGTCCAACTATTTTTACCTAGATTAAAACGACGGTGGCTAGAGGGCAAAATCCAATGTATTAGTTCCTGTAATTCTCAAACATCGTCACGAGGCTATCAGCAGTTTCGAATCCTCATTTATTCGTTTTGGCAGTCGTAAAATACCCTTCCACACACACACACACACACACACACGAACACATTGAACTAAATGTGGGAGAAACTCCATTTATAGGCATTCCTCTGAGCATTTTTTGACGGTAAAACTGTTTTTTACCGTAATATTCAGCCATGTAATTTTATGCATGCACAAAGAGCAACAGATAGTTAAACTGTTAAAATAGTGACCAAGATGACCCCTCGTGAGATCATTTATCTATTGACCGGTCTTATAACTAGATATTAGATTTATAAAATCCTGAATATGAATTTAACGAACGCAATTACAGTTAAATCGAAATGTGTGCAATGCTTCTTCAGTGTTTTGCTTTGGAAGTCGAGGGCTTGCTGTGTGTCACATCAAAAGCAAACGCTAACTTACTCGACATGGACAAAAAAATCCGCGAATGATATGTAGATTTCATTCTTGGGGGTGGCAATTATCTCCAGATTTCTTGTGGACAAGCTCAAGCCGCCCGTCAGAGGTGAGACAAAGAGGGAATTAAACTGCTCCCCATGCATCCATGAGAGGCTTACGTCACCGTTCAAACGTTGCTCGATTCGGGCATCACCCAGGTAAACTATAAAACAGCTGAGCATCTTACTGGAACTGTCAATGTATGAGCTTACTCGTGAGACCGCTGGCATCTTTCTGAATTACTGAAGAGTTAACTAGGTCTAAGAGTTTCGGTTCCTCATTTACTTTATCCAATCCGGATTTCCTCAGAATGTCTGGAGTACGGTCACGATCAAAGAAATCCATCGATACTGGTCTGCATTGAGCCCAGTGGTGCATGGTCAGTCGATAGTACTCGTTCTCATTCTTTACAAAACTGGGCTTTTCAGTCCGCAGTAATATCTGTCGCTCCTTATCAAATGTGATTGAGAGCTTTTCGTGATGAATATTAATTAGCCCGCGACAGTTGAAATGATACACGTATCCATATTGGCAATTTTCACTAAGTGCTAACGCAGAGTTATTGCGATAGTTGATCAAACGATAAGCCGTTCCTGACCTTTCAAGAACGACATATGCCGATAGTCTCAAGTGAATGACGGATTCTTTGGACAAGTACAGCTGTGGGTTCGATAGTGCTGCTAAACTGAAATCGCCCTCACAAGGCACCTGTTCCAGTACTTTTGAACAGTATTGCCACTCTGGAGATGGATACATGGGGAATGCTGTCTCCGAGTTCATGGCGCTCTGAAAGGTCATCTTATTTACAGCTACTCTATTCGCATCACCACACATAGAGCTGCCTGTTAAATCGTAGCCATATGGAAGGTAAGTTGGCATAATTTTTGAGCTATTAAGAAATGGAAAATTGTCAAGTGGATCTAGATTGTACATCAAATCTTCCTCAGTAAACTGCCTGGTGGATGCACACAGTCGTGCGTAGCAGAGTTCACAATTACACATTATCTCTGATAGTGGATGCACATCTTCTTCGTGGGTATTGCTTGAATTCGAAAATGCACGAGTTGTCATTTCTCGAGGCTAAATCCAAGATTATGATAATCGTTCCACATATGCAGCTCACCACGTATGACACGCCTCGTGTCAAGTGAATGCAGCATTACGATTGATCAATTGCGCTGGTGGTCGGTTTAAACAACCGATCGATAGACCTCCTCTTCCCACCCACCACAGGCTGCGAAAATGCAGGCAGCGCCAGCATCCCTCACGATCCTTCAGCGCGCAAGCTTCCCAGTCAGTTTTGCACAAAATTGGCTCCATTTTAGTACATTCTCATCAACTTCAGCACTAGATGCATTTCGATCATTCGAGCAACGCTATGCAAATAGGTTGGAATCAGGGACAACGGACAGGTAAACTTGAAAATAAGACCTCCAAAGGTCACTTTAGATTGCAAAGATGTCAATATTGTCACCGAATTGCAAGATTATTGTCAAGAATGCAGGTAAGACGCCTAAAAGGACTCTTAATAGAGTATCTACCGTTATTTACAGGTCCTGTTAACTTCCGCTTATCAGAATACAAGACCGCTGCTTTCGAATTGAAGTGTACAGAAGAAGAAGCATTTCAACACAGAAATACACCATGTATTCTAGCAGAGGCTATAATATTTTGCCGCGAAGCACTAGTGCAAAGGGAAGTGAAGATGTGCTTTCATTACTGACGTTGAGGAAAGTAATTCAAGTGAAATAATTGTTCAACATAAAGATTTGAGTTGAGAATGGTGGATGGATGAAAGTTACACGGACGTCTCCGGGGCAGCCGCTGACAGAGGAACCGCAGGTAAATCTAGCATATTTCGCACCAAATTCTCCAGGTGGAAGTGAAAATTTGGGACACAGCTATAATCTAGAGTGAAATGGGGTTGAGCGAATTTTACAGTTCGGAAATTCAAGAGTAAATTTGAGATGGTTAAATGATTGCTCTCGATTTTGGCTCAATAGTCGCCCCATTATTTTGACATCAAAATCCTTTTGGGCAGACTTAGGGATTAGAAATACCACCGAACTGCGACACGTCGAGGTCGATGACCCCTGCCACAAAAATGTATTCATTTTGAGGGCCTGTTGATGCAACAATCCAGAGTAGAAGCGAATCATGAAAATTTTCGAATCGTACGATTTGCATGAATAAATGTTCTGAAGGTAGCCAAGTAAACTCCTACTCAGTTCAAAAAAACAGGATCAACAGATCGAAATTAGCGAGGTTGACTTTAGGTGCACATTGATACAAAAAATCCCCACAAGAGTTGCTTTGCACTGCAGTGGAGTAGCTTAATTTCGCAATCAGAATTGTGCAACTTGAAGGATGTTAGAACGGATATTTTGCTTGGTTCTGCAAGCGCTTACCTGGAAATACGTTGACATCTATAATAGCCAAGTGATGTTTACGCTCCGCGCTGGAAGGGATCACAAAATCGACGCCCATGAGTTTGAGACGTAAGCGCACTCGAAGGGAGTCAATGACTCGCTTCATTAAGGACTTGTCAATGCCTAAATCCTCAATGCTTGGGACATCGTGAGTCTAAATGCAAAATGATACTAAGCGAACGATGTAATCCCATACCTTTCGTAAAGACTGCAAATACCGATGGGCTTAGAAATGACAAAGAAATTGCGTTTGCAGCTTTAAACTTACGTTGTTAAGTACAGAATGCGAATTCTCTTTAGAAACATCTCGAGAGTTAAAAAAGATTGGTTCATATTCTAAAAGCCACATGAGAACATTGCAAATCAACAGTACCTTTGGACAGATTTTTAATGGACGGTCTTGTAACGAGATGAAGGAAGTCACCAATGACGTATGCCTTTAACAGGATCCCATTGTGGTTTTCAAAACTCTGTACCACAGAGTGACATTTAATCAGGCTCAAATCACTCTGTTTGAAGAGTATCACCATCTACGAGAACGGTACCATGTTGGGAAAAAATGCATACTTTATGTGCCGCTGTCTTTCCATGTGACGCAAGAGGCTTACAAACTAAAATTTTGGTAAAGTCACATGCAAAACTTGACGAGTAGGAACAATAGAGCAATTAAACACAAAAGTCGGTCTTAGTCCTGCTAAAAGGCGCAAATTATATGTAGTAGCACCAACCCAGGCACAATGCTTTTGAGTAAGACAAGTGAAAATGTGTGAATTAGATACTCGGTTAGCATCTCACCAGCTGGAAAATTCACGTTAGCGTCTTGAAGAGAACGAATGTCAAGATCCCGATTACCGACGCACAAGCAAAAAGACGGCACCACAACAATGTCGTCTATAAATGACCGAACATTACGATAGTAAAGCAAAAGGCTGGTAAGAGATAGTACGCAGAAGATTAAGTTATTCAAACCCTGAGCACTGAAGAAGTATCCTTTCAATTCGGGCAATACTTGCCTAGATTGAAAGTTCTAGCAGCATGAGAAACACTTATAAGTTGCGAATAACGATTAGAGACTAATGCAATGGCATCCAATTGATCTAGAAACCTAACAGACGTATTTGACTGGGCATATTTCTAAAAAGATACAGTAAAGAAAGGCAAACTTGAAAATCATAATATTTCTCTTCATCTCCATCCAAGAGGTAAGAACTTTTGTGGATTACAAGGTCAAAAGGACCTTGACATTCAAAAGGCTCTTTTTCTGTTATCTGCACAACAGTTGTTAATTTGCGGATAAATACCCTCAAGTATTGAATAGACCCATCAAATCTGCATGAACAACTTTGTGAGAAATTCCCTTGCCTATTCACTTGCAGTAAATGACGGAAGCCAAGTCTCTCAAATTTCCTGTCATCGACAAAAATTCCCACCCGTTTTGGCATATCAAAAGGGCGCGTAATTCTGAGTTGCTCACAAGAGCTCGGTCAGATCGAAATAGGGATGTGTGGTTTAAATAAATTGTTAATTAAGCCTGGGAAAAATTATAGTAAAAAGCATTCTATTTAACATTTTCCTAATCTAAAAACGAAAAAGGCAATATTTTAGGCAGAGCACATAATCTAAGAGAATAAGTAGGGACTAGTCTCTGGCTTTGCCCGAAGGCCAACCCACTGATACCATGGTAAACGCTAGGCATGCAGATGGTCACGGATTTACTGCCTCGCTTATGCGGCTGCCTGATTTCGGGTGGTTACTTTTAGAATTCGTCTGATTCTTGTACGCGTTGGTTGACCTTTGAGCTATGCTCAGATCTAACACTTATGTCCACCCTAGAATACATCCATTCGACTCAAACCACTACTTGTCCAACCTGTGAGAATTTTCAGAACGCCATATATGTCTCTGGTATTGTTAAATTATATATGCTATTGTGTTCACAATGCCCTTACTGGGGAGAGGTGGTTGGTTAATTTTCACTCGAATCATGTACTTGAAAAACGCAGTGACGTACATGCGTGGTAGTGCCGAGTCGTCATCTGATCTCCATCTATGCTCCTTTATACCTGTAATAGATTCTAATAAGCCCTCTTATGAAATAAAAGGTTCAGATGCCTGAGGGGAAGCTAAGAGTGTAATGCTTTGTTTATGTAACTACCTGAGGTTCAGTGATCACTTTAGGAGTTGTTTGGCCCTTGTACTTGTGGGCTGGCCTTCAGGCCATGTTCAGACCCATTTTCTCTGTCCTCTTCGGAATAAATGTGTCCAGCCTCACTGCCTTCCTCCACCATATACGAAGTCTTAAGACACTATAAAGAGGTCCTACAGTTGCAGTTGTAGGGTCCCAAGATTTTCTATTTGACAATATAAAGCAATGAGTTAGGCTGAATGCATGTGTTCTAGGAGACTAACGGATTGAGATTTGGCTCGATCCAAAGACCAATTCCCGCGTACGATGGCAAGGAGCTTATCATAGTCACCGCTAGACAGTAGATGGTTGCACAAACAAAGTCCTACAAGAGTACGTACGACGAGGTGTCTTTTAATAATCATCGAATCGTTCTCACGCCCTTTTTTCATTTTTGTCCTTGAGCTGACCAATGATGTAAATAAATAATTGCTATAACATAACTTTAATGTGAATCACACCAGCACTTACCATTCTTAATTCTTACAATTTAAGACTCTTGTGCAGTTATTTATGAAGCCTTTAATTGAAATATACTTCTACACTCCCACTTATAATCCTCTAGTCGTCTTTATTTGATGCCAGCTTATCACGTTATTATCCTAGAACTAAGAAGAGTCAGTTGTTTGTATGCTCAACCATTTTGTGTATCTTCAAAAAGTCGTTGAACCAATAAGCAGTCGGAGATGCTGTGGAGGTGTTTCAGACGATGATTTTCCTGACTCGGTCTTGCTTGCGTTGCCTTTGACAGCTTACGATTGAATTGCTGAGAAAGATCCCATTCAAAGTCTACGAAACTTGCTTCGTAATGGAACCGCCATATTTATGTGATAATTTTAATCGGAGGCAGTTTGTAGCATTGTCACTTATCTTCATGTTTGTTGCTCTTCTGTCTTTGCGTCTTGACGATTTTATCTGCTGGCACTATTGGGTAGTGTTTTGTCCGCTGTGGCTTTGGGAGTTCGTTGTATTTGGTGGTTTTCTTCTTGAAATTTTTGCATTTTGTCGGAGTCAGCATTGCTACGTTGAAACGCAATCGCATTTTAAAAGTGCGTTCTTTGACGCATTCTTCCATACTAATCTTTTATTTTTTGAAGTGTTGGCTTGCAACAGGCTGGAGAACGCCCATCATAGCTGGGTTTCTGCCTGTATTCCATTGATTATACTGGGAATTTTTGGTTTGTTTGTAAGTTGTTGGGCCATCAAAAATGACTTTGACGGGGATCTTCACTTCATTGTCTTCTCGCACGTTTTATTTTTCATTCTTGTTGCACTTAGATTGGAGAATTTTATTAACTGGAGCTGGAGAATCGTATTTTTACCTAGCTGGCTTGCGTTTGCATTCTTTTTCATCCTTGATTTTACCGAATTCGTCTTATCCATCTTCCGCTTTGCCTGTATAACCAGGTTTCCTGATTACCGACAACAATCCCTTTGCATCAGTGTTGGTTATTCCATTTCCCTTCTGCTAATTACCGCATCAGGTGTATTGTTGGCTCTCAAGCTGGACGATGATTTGCGTCTTCCCTGTATAATTATTGCTGCCCCTCTCATGTCAGCCTTGACAGTCTTTATGAGTCTCTGCTTCTCAGCTCGTCCCCATTTCCAGTGGCGTCGATGCTTCCGGATTCTTTACCGACATATCATTGAAATGTGCTATCCGTTACAAGAATATGGCAATATTTCTTATAAACTAAGTAGTCTCCATCAGTCCTCAATGTATGACCAGTGAGTCCGACGTGTTTTTTGCCATATTTTTGAGTTCAGTTGCTATTTGTTCTGTTTTTCTCGCTATTAACGTTACTTTATCTGGACTGCCCTTGAAAATTGTAGTTTCTTTTATGGGCTCCCAGTATATATTCATTATCTGTATTTTTTTGGTTTCTGTCATCATTTTCTGGGGCAGACAGGGCTCACATTACATGTATGGACTAGTTTTGAATTCCCACATTTGCTGCCAAAAAGTTGACAATTTAGAAAATTGTTGAATTATATCATGCGCTATTTCCAATAAAGCTTTCAGTAGCTTTCTTCATCATTTACGGATGTTATGCTCTTTGGTTTGGCACGGTTGAAATGGTCGATTTTTCAAAAATTAATCAGGCCTCCTACCTTATTAAAAACGGTGTAGTTAATTGGTTGTAATGAACTTTTCCTATGCTTACTTCAGCGCTACTCGAGGCGAAAATCAACAATCCCCACCTCGGAGTTCTGATTTCCATCTGACGATAACTGATGCTTCCCCATTGGGGTTTGAGAGTCCCAAGTCTCCCTCTAAGTCGGTTTTCGTTGATATACAAGAGGCGAGCTGGCCGCCGGAGGCTCGGCTGTTACATGCGCCCCAAGGGGGAAAGGCCCAAACTTCGTTTGTGGTGGCGAGCGCACATCGTCCCGCTTCCGCTCGACTAGATATGCCGGATTAGCCGCACGACAAGTCTTGCGTTGTTAACGCCAAGGATTCTATTTTGATTATTTACCACGAGGGTTACTCTCCTAAATTTATCTGCGTTTACACAAAACCAGACACTCCCCCATTTCGCCACTTACCTGTAGTTGACCATGTGGAATTTATGACTTTGAATAATATATGCATATGAGACTCATTTTTAAACTTTTCGTTCTCTATCGTTATTTGGTAATTTCAAGGGATTGCAACTTCATTTCTTTCCATCCTTATGCTTTCGAAATCATTGCGAGTTTTCTCAATTGAATTTGTTAGGACTTCAATTTTCACATCCATTTTCGATCTTATCATGGTAATCACGTGGAGGGTTTTGGTTAACTCTCTATTCCACGGTGGGTGCTTACATGATTGGAGTGCTTTTGAGAAGTCACAGAAAAGCGCTTTGTACAGAAGGCGCATTTAATGTCTCTAAAGAATAAGACTTCTAGTCTAGGCTACAATGCTCATTGAACTACTCCTCGAATTGCTTGTCCAAGCGTCACAGACCCGTAAGTTGGCTGTGACTACTGATCAAAGGAGGTGGGTGTGAAGCTTGTATAAGTGCTAAAGGATGCGTGATCCATCCTTAACGATTCCTTTCGAACTGTAAGATTCGCACCAAAGGAGCACTACTCTTGCATTCTGGCCAAGTCAACACTCGGCACATTCAATCCCCAAATCGAATCCACTTTATCTCAGGAGGTATACTTTGCCGTCGCATCGATTTACTCTGCAATTGTTGCGTTCTTCGTCACACTACCAAACATCAAAAGCTTAACGTACAAAGTGGAATTCAAAGTTATGAGCCATGCGTCTGAACTATTAGGGTGCTTTGTCCTTCTTAAGGAGGTGCGTAGAATTTTGACATTCCATCAGTGTCAGTTCGTAAAAATTCCTACCTGATTGTTGAAGCATGTGAGGTAGTGCGCCACTGCTTTTCTAAAGTTTCTATGCTTTTTGTACTTTTTTTATTTTCACGCCATGACCTTTGTCAAACTGTTTTTGCTTGGTCACACCAAGAGCTGCTATTCACCATATAGTAGCATCTCATTCTCTTTCAATAAGCCCTTAGCAAAGCTATTTTCACCTTCAAAGCAGCATTTAAGAACTTTTTCACGAAACTATAGGTAGAGCAACATTGTAATTCAAAGGAAGCCTCTTTCAAGGTGTAAACAATGATGTGTCTTACCCGTTTAACGGTCATATGCCAATAACTTTCCCCGTTCATGCCGGAGCTTTCTCGCCTTCACTTGTTTTGACGATGTGTGGGCTTTGCAGGATGGATTCACCTATACTAAGCTACTGATAGCGAGAATTGACATCAATGGGTAAGGAAACAGCATCGGCGTCACCTTAACTGAAGCAATTTGTCAAACAACAAACTTCCACTCTTCCTTCACTACGGCTATGCCGAGTGCAAGAAGCATGATGGCTTCAAGACATCTTTATTGCCTTGCGACAACAGGGACAATAGCATGGTCGATTGGGCTTGTTATGTGACCTTAACAGGATTGAAGTTGCCTGTTACGTTGAATCAAAATTTGGGAAGACTACATCAGTAAATAATAGATCACGGATAAAATTATCTGATTCTTCGAGTTTAATCGGACGAGTTCCTCCCACATTCCATTTGATCACCTTGCCCTTTCCGATGATTTGGGCACAACGATACCCTCGATTGTTATCTTCAATGTTCTATTTTAAGACCTTCTTGCCTCTACGCTTCCATGGGAAACAGTAAGCTAAACGTTGCGGTAGTTGGCTCCAGACATTTTTATTTAACAAACTGGTTCTCAATCTAAAATACCTACAATGAGGCAGGAAGGTGCTAAATTTTTTCTT